ATAGCTTATCATCCACTGATTACTCTGTTTAACTATGCATTAAATTGGTGGGTTTATATTTTTTCTTGACGCTTTACCTAAATTTAGTTGGAGGCCATCCCAGTTTCGTAATTATAAAAGACTAGGGTTAAGGCGCATGGGCGTCCGTGTAGCTAGATAATTACGCATCATGTGAGTGTCTGCTTGAAGAAACATAATCATGATTTAATATAAGGATAGTTTTGAAAATATAAAGGCAGAAAAAATGCTGCGTTTTCCTTAATAAAATAGACATTGACATAACTGAAAAACTAATCAAATGGTATTGATAGATAATTAGCTCAAAACTCCAAAAGATAGTATTTTCTATGAAGAAGTGAAGACCATCAAAATTATGTTCTCTACCAAATGACTTCGTTCATAACCATCATCTTCACTTAGATATGTTCTCATTGATGAACCTTTTCATCTATTAAAATGCAATTAATGACCATTATCTTCATTAACAATTCATTTTTGGAAGAAAACATGGAACGAAATTGATTATAAGCAGTTCCAAAATTGCATCTTCAAATCAATGGCTCGAATAACTTTTTTCATAGCCTTTTTCAAAGTCGGTGATTGTGTGTCCCCACATCATTCGTCCTTCTTCTGTACCTTCCAATGTCCGGCACACTTGTACCGACCATCTCGGCTTTTGTTTGAAGTTACAAATCAAAAAAGCTTTGCCTGCAAATCTTTACCAGATTCCATGCACGAGAAATCTTTCATTCTTTTCAATAATAAATCTATATATAAAGTGGGAAAAAGGTTAGAAAAAAGAAGGAAAAGAGTAGTTTGCCCCCACATGGACAAAAGGAAAAAGTGTGAGAAAAAAAAAGAAGGAAAAGAATGTTTTGCCATTTATACGTGTTAAAATATTCCACATCCGTTGTAAATGAAATTTATCTATTTTATATATATATGTGATTTTCCTTCACTTATTAATTTAAGTATTTAAGTTAGGTATTTCAACATGATATCAAAATCGGATTTTGCCTCAGTTTTATTACATGTGTGGTGCTCGTTTTTTCCTATTTCACTTCGTTCATAATTCATTTTGCACAGGAGAGTGAATATCCAATTATCGGATTAAGTTTCTCGATTTGACATTTTCATAATACAAACAAAACTTATTGCGCTCCTGTAAGCTTAACTTATATTTTTCCTATAAATTTTAGATTAATGACTGTTAAACTTGTCGCGGAATGGAAAAAAGATAAAGAGAGATTTCAGGTTTGTGGAAAACCAGTGGCCACTTGCTTTGGTGGGAGAGGAAGACATGGCTTTCTGGAGTGCCCCCACTTATATTAACTCCAATTGGCCTTGGCTGTTATATCATCCACATGAAAGGGAAAGTTTTTTCCTTTTTTAAATTTTCCATTTCTTAGGCTAAAAACGAAAACCTTTTGGTGAAATTTTGTCATTGGTTGAATCGACATCATGATTGAGGGAATGGACATTGTCATTATCTTGTGAAGTACATAATTATGGATGCGTTTAACAATTGATAACGCAATCGTGGAGGCATGGCCCATACAAAACATTTAAATTTAATCAACTCGTGGTTAAGCCAACTCAAGTTAGATCTATCTTGAGATTTCATTTCTATATGCTATATTGTCCTATTCATTAGTGCTCATAAACAAAAAGATAGGATTTTGCATGCCTTTTGAATATATACGTGTCATAATGAGTTAAATGTAACCAATAATATTAAGGCAAAACTCGATCTAATCGATAGTCTAGGGATCTCTTGAGCCAACCTAACATGTGTTCATAGCATATTAAAATCAATACTAATACGTAGTCAGCTAGTTTTTTATTTCCAATAACTTGTAATTGGTCGGATTTCGGTTAATTTGTTCATCTACTTACCTTTGCAAAATTGCGAATTATTCATGTTATTTTGAAAAATAAACGAAAAGAAAACGAATTCGTGTGGTTGCTTGAGAATGGGTGAGAGCTATTCTTACCTTTTTCCGTGTAAGAGGCACATAGGGATTGGAATAGCTACACATTAGAGGTAATGTTTATCTACTTCACCATGTTTTCATGAGCAAATAATTTTAGGTTCCACCTCATCTTTAATACCCCGTTTTAGAAGAAAGATAATCTAGAAAGTTTCCTAAATATGCTCAATTTGAAATCACTGAAAATTACTTGGAAATGAAAAACTTCCGTTTTGAGAAGATAGAGAGAGTGATTGACGTGCCTTTGGACACTAAAATTATGTATGTCCCACCTTTTGCGTTTCGTATGGGACAAGTAGCGTAGATAGGACCTTAAAGTCGTGTTTGAGTCTCTGTTCAAACCCTCGGAGGAATGAAAACTTTTTTACATCAATCGACACGGTCTTACACAATTAGACAAGCCGACATCGACAAATTTGAAAGTGACATGAGTTTGAAGTATGTTATTTTTTTTATCATGCTTAATAAGAATACAATTTTCATTGTTACACGACTTGATAGAAATGTACACTAAACTTGACTGTGAAAACAAATTGCCGGCCCTAATCCGAGGGCCAAATTGTAAGTTTCTTATTTGATTTTTCGATTTTATTCAATTCCATCTTATACCCATCGACCACTATTTAAGGATAAAAAAAATTTTGGTCGAACAATAGGGAAAAATGACTAGTGGTTGGATGGTGGACCTCGGAAGCAAAAGCATGCCCCAACCCAGTTGCAAAAGGTTTGGAGTTTTTTAGGTGGAATGGAGACCTGATTCCATGAATTTGCTGGGCTAAATCCCAGCACAAGAGAGACAAAGAGCAGGCTGTCCCTTTGCCACCCATAAACACTTGAAAAGGCTTTTAATTCCAAATAGAAAGTGGAAGAAAAGAGACGAGCGTTAGGTTATCCTCTTGGATAATCCATGTGATTTTACATTTTTAATTCTAATTAGATTTTTCCCGACCCCAAGAAAATTTAAGATGAATCGAAATGGGGGTTTGATTTTGGCAAAGTGTTTTTTTTTTTAATTTTTCTCTCTTGATTTGATTGTCCCCCAGAAATTAGGCATGATTTCCTCTTCATCATGTCCTTAAGTTTGGGCAAAAATTACTAATAAACCTGGACACGGTAAGATCTGCTAACTTAAGTTAATCTTAATTAAGGAAAAAAAAGTTAATCTTGATATATGCATTTTCTATAGCAAGTCTATTTCGTTCGACTGTGGTCTAAGAGTATTAATTTTCTTTTATTTTTTCCCCAACAGAGTCATAATTTGTTTGCATTGTGGCCTAGTCATAACGTACCACAATCTCACTATTCATTTTGTGCTTATAATCATCAAAATGGACTCTCCAAACCCAAAAGAATTGACCACCTTCTTTCTGGCCAACGCAAGCTGACCGGTCCACATTCACAACATAACAACAAAAAGCCAAATCCGGTCCATTTGACCCAATTTATTTCTTATTTGCTCACATGATTATGAACTGTTTTTTTTTTATGGTGTTTAACACACCGGTTAATCGTCTCTTGAATCTCCTCGCCCCGCCAGAAACCCGACAACCCACATAGAGATCGAAGGATCACAAGAAATTACTCTAATATCACTTCACGTCGTGAGAACTATATGATGTCCGATTAGTTGAGACTCGACCCTTTGCATTATAAGATACCACACTTCAAAATCGGATCTACTATTTCTGAATATGACAGCTCATTTTGTCAAGTTTGGGAGAGGAGAGAAATTATTTTTTTATGAGCCAATGAGAAAAATAATATAAAAGTTAGAGAGAGAGAGAGAGGTGGGGTTGGAGAGAGGGGAAATTTTCTAAAATATTTTGTATAAGCAAACTAAAATTTCTCCCCAAGAGTAATGTACGCAAATGACGGGAAAAATTCATCAAAGGAAAGTCGCCGGCAGTTTCTTTTAGTATATAATACATATAAAAAGGTCGGACGATAATTTAGGTCAATTTTTAGTCAAAAAAAATTAGGCATACTTTTTAGTCAAAAAAAATTAGGCTTATTTCTATTGTCCGATAAAACGCACGTCATTCATATTTTAGTGATGGTGGTACGTAACGAAAGTCAACCTATTCCATTTGCGCTCCGGTCACGAAACCCCAATTCAAAACTCAACCTCAAACTTATATTTATTTATTTTTATCCTAGTCTTTTTCAAAAAATTCAACCTCAAAACACTTAAAAATCAAAAGGGAAAAAAACCGCAAAAAATCTCAATTTATGTCATTATGACACATTTATTCTAAACTTTCTTCGTGACACAAAAATTCTTAAACTTATATATACATGACACATTTACCTTCCATCGAAATTTTATCAATTAATACCATTAAACAAATCCGTCTACATCATCGACAGAAAGCAAATGGTGTCGACACGTTTAAGTGAAATAAAATGACGTCGATTTGACTGAAATATCAATTAACGGAGTCTTGATGTAGGGTAATTTTATCACACTGGTACAAGTTTTGGGTGTTTGATGTCACAAGAAAAAAGAGTTTAAGGTACAAGTGTCACGGTGGGTATGATTTTGGTTTTCAATGTCACCAAAAAATAAATTCAGGATAATTGTGTCACCGTAGATTTTTTTTTTTTTTACATTATCCTACTCTAATTCTCAACTCACTCTTAGACTTTTGCCCTACGTCTTAGAAGAGCGTGGGAATCGAACCCCACGCCCGAAACTAAATGTTCCCACTCTCAGCTCCTCCTAAGAAGACGGTGATTTGAACTCCCCACCTCCAGGTGGTTTGTCACCGTATATATAATTTAGGATTTTTGGTGGGTTTTTCCCTAATTTAAAAAAAAAAACCTCTGCCGACCCAAAAAAAAAAAAAAAGACAATGCAACCAAATCGCAGCCGTCCATCTCCCAGAACGTGGTGAACCTTCCTCATGGCCCCGCTCATCGAATATTCCCCAACCTTATTCCCCTCTCCATCGTATAAAACATCAATACTCAAACCGAAAACACTCCCAAAACGAAACCTAGCACAGCAAGAAACAACCTCAAAACAGGACACGCAGACAAGAACAGCAGGCAACAGCAAGCAGCACAGCGCCTAACCCAAGAAGATGTGCGATGCCCTGAAGAACAGCTACCACCTCCTGGAGGAGCTCGGCCGCGGCCGCTTCGGCACCATCTACCGCTGCTTCTCCCCGGCCAAGAACGCCTTCTTCGCATGCAAGGTCATCGACAAGTCCCTCCTCTCCGACGACCCCGCCGACCGCGCCTGCCTCGAGCACGAGCCCAAGATCATGTCCCTCCTCTCCCCGCACCCCCACGTCGTCTCCATCGTCGACGCCTTCGACTCCCCCTCCTCCCTCTCCCTCGTCATGGAGCTCTGCGACCGCCGCACCCTCTTCGACGTCGTCGCCCACCGCGGATCCCTCCCCGAGGCCGAGGCCTGCCGCCTCGTCGGCCAGCTCCTCTCCGCCGTCGCGCACTGCCACCGCCTCCGGGTCGTCCACCGCGACGTCAAGCCCGAGAACGTCCTGCTCGACCCCCGCGGCGGCGGCCTGAAGCTCGCCGACTTCGGGTCGGCGGTCTGGCTCGGCGGCGAGGGGAGGGCCGCGACGGCGGAGGGCGTCGTGGGGACGCCGTACTACGTCGCGCCGGAGGTGCTGCTGGGGAGGGAGTACAACGACAAGGTGGACGTGTGGAGCGTCGGGGTGATCCTGTACATCATGGTGTCCGGGGTGCCTCCGTTCTACGGGGACTCGGTGGAGGAGATCTTCGAGAAGGTGGTGCGGGGGAATTTGAGGTTCCCGACGAAGCATTTCAGAGGGGTGTCCGCGGATGTTAAGGATCTGCTCAGGAAGATGATATGCCGGGACGTTAACCGGCGGTTCTCTGCAGAGCAGGCTTTGAGTGAGTCCTCTGTCCTCCATTTTTGTCCCCTTCTTTCCCCCTCTGTTCTGTTTCAACTGGGTTTTCATCGGATCACCAGAGGGTGATCTGTGACTGTAAATCGGATTTTTTTCTTTTCTTCTCTTGTGTAGTTTGGGGAGAGATCGTGTTGAGTTTCTTCCAGTTTGAGTTTTGTTCTTTCTGGTTCTGAATTGGTGATAAAAATCTGATCTTTCTTGGGGGGTTTCAGATGGTTTTAGAATTAAAAGGGGAGATCTTTATTGGCATTGTCAATTCTTTCTTCCTTGGATGGTGATTCCGAGTTTTTAATAGGTTTCTCCTTTTTCGTTTTCGAAGCTGTGAAAAGGGTCTTGTGTTACTGAATTGGCGAGAAAATTTTGATTTTTACTCGATCAGAGATGCTTGAAGAGGGGAAAGGGGATTTGGATTTTGAATATTTGCTTCTGGTTCGTTTGATCGGAAATCTAAAAATCTTTTTAAGATGATCGCAGCAATTTTTCTCTCACTGTAGTTTGTTGGAGATAGGGAGCGTCCGATGTTCAAAATTCTCTTGTCCTACTACCTTATACTCAAGAGCGTCTGTTCTACTGTAAATGTGCAGGGCATCCATGGATTCTGAATGGAGGCGAGACAAACTCACTGCCTGATCTGACCTGAATAATGGGAAGACCCCCCCGCCCCCTCCTCTCCCGAATCGAATCCAAAAGTTAAACTACTGGGTCGGTGGTAGCGGCAGGATCCTGTATATACATCCACTGTTTTTTGCATTCCCCATTGTAAATTCCATCATCCGTTCACACCCGTCCCCTGCTTTGCTGCTCTGCTCGAGAACGTGACTCTCCAAGGCCAAGATGGATCGCATTCCAGACTTTCAGAGACAGAGAGAACGCCTCGAGGAGGCCATTGCCGGGAGAGACTGCAGGGTTTCATCTTTGTTCAATTTTATTCCTTTTTTCTTCTGTAAAAAGGCCTATGTCTGGTGTTTTGGAAGAGAGGTAAATAGGGGTTTCGAGAAGCCTGCCTGCCCTGTCTTTCCCCTCCCCATCTCTCTTTTCCCCCATGAGAGTGAGGAAGTGAGAAAGCCACTTAGTCCAAAAAAAAGCCAAAAAAAAAGAGAAAAATGAAAGAGAAAGAGAGAGACTATGTGTTTTTTGTATCTTTCTGTGTAATCTGAATGGAATCAAGAAAATTCTCTTTTTTTCCTACCTTTCATTTTCTGGTGCAGCTGGAATTAGACTTTGCTTCTTCTTCTTCCATGAGGAAATTTCTAAGAGCATGTTTGGGTGCGTGGTAAACGTTGAGAAACAAGTTGGAAATTTTGTCTTGCCTTCTTTGAACGGGAGGCATAAAGAAGAGCATCAGCATCAGCATATGCTCTTCTAGTATGCCCTGTTACTACTATGAACGTGTGTTGTCTTGCGTGTCCCTTTCCTGGAAAGCATGGACCGCTGGTCCCTCCCATGTTTTCTTCATTTGCAAGTCTTCTTCTTCTTCAATGAATCAATTATGGAGAAGAGAAGATGGGTACATGAGAGTGGCTGTACGTTGATTTTGTGTAAAGATAGCTTGGCAACTTGATGAGCATAGGGGTGAATTTGTTGATAAGTGTAGGGCTTTAATCAATACATGGACATGAATGACAAGTTCTTAGTTTTTCACGATGTGTCGTGTGAATCGGAGGGAGGTTACATGAAATATGACTATGATTTCAATAATTATCATGAAACTTATAATTTGTCAAATTGGACGTCCTCTTAAACTGAGCGACAACGACAGGGTTTGTGACCGTAGTTGTTGCAAGGTCACGATCCTTGAGCCCTTTCCTATTAACAAGGAGGGAGGGAGGGGGAGAGAGAGGGGCTTCATCATCTTTGGATGTTATCGATCCGGGGTCCCCGGAGGGCAGCGACGCCGAAGGTAATCATGACCACCGAGCGCAATGAGAGTGCGACGGGATGGGCGCAAAGGGGATTGCGCCCTGCATGGGGGCAAGAGGAAGGACGGGAGAAATAGAGGAGTAATGTTTTGGTATTTGGGGGCGGATTCTCTAAAAGACATGGTATCGTGGTCTAACGAGATAATTTTACCCTTCATTTCTTAACTTCTCCATCTAAGGGTCCACTAGTTTTAAGAAAAACTATTTTCGAAAAAATCGTTTTTCAACCTTCCGATATTTTACTAATCGACTTTTCAAAAACGTTTTTTCATGAATTGAAAGTAGTAAAATTTAGATTTGGGGAAAACGACTTCCCATTCTCGTAAAAAAAAAATCATATTTTTCTAAATTATCAAATAAATAAAAACTAATCGATTTTTCGGAAAATGTTTTTTCTAAACCCACCTCATAAGAAAGAAATAGCAACGCAAGCGCATGCGCATCATGCCCAATGCAAGAATCTTACTACGCAAGCACAAAGCATATGCTTTGTCCGTTCTCTAGAATTCTCCCCAAGTTCACGAACTTTCTTGGGACGCGTGCGTAGTGACAAGACCTCAAAAAGCACAACGCGATTCAAGGAAGAAACGTCATAAGCTGTCGCCGTGGATCTTGGAATTCTTACAAAAATTCAAAAGCTGAAAACGAGGGGGAGATCAAAGTGTGAAACCTGCACAACCCAACGTGGGCGATAGCTTATCAAACGGTGCAGCTTTGACGAGTCGCATTGGAAGAAAGAGAGGAAGAGAGGAAGAAGTCTTTCATTTCGAATGAATTCAACTTCGCAGACCAGACCAGACCACGTGGGGGTTGGTTCGTATAACCCAGCTGATACGCTATCTGGGTTTTGTCATCGCAGGATTCTGCTCATATCCCCCTTAAAATAATGTGTTTTTTTCTTCTGGCAAACTTGTTTCGAACGTTAAGTAAATTGAAAAGAGCTAATCGTCCCCCACTTAGCCAACGTGTTGTAGTCTCACCAATTTGATAGTGGTTAGTGTTGAAACCCCCAGCAATTTTAATAGATTCTTTCCTTACAAATTTTTAATCTACTCAAAAGAAATCTTAGGTTTTTCTTTTTGTTTAAAAGATAAAAGTCTCATCTCCAATCTCTTACGATTATTGTTTATTATTACTTGTGCGACTTGATCACGAGACTAATCGAAAGTATAAACTGAAATATTTTTTATGTGGAGTTGAGGGGAGATCTGATTTTTGAAAAAAAATACCTAAATTTCAAATGTAACTATTGAAAGTCGATCGAAATTTCCTTTTTAATCCATTATAGGTTCACCCATAATCGTGTGTAGGTTGCTCTTGAATAATCCATTTAGGATGCGTTTATTTCACTAAAAACTTTGTGAGGAAAGGAAATATTTTCTATGGAAATCATTTTCAAGGAAATTTATTAGTTTTCATTTATTGAGTGGTTCAGGGAAAATGATTTTCTCCGTGCGATTCGCCCTGGGTCAAGGAAGTGGTTTATCATTTCCTTTGGTGATGTGAAGTTCCAAGCAAATGAGATGATATCCTATGGAGTCTGTCTCCATAAAATCTGCGCCGAAGGGCATTGCTGTGAATAGATGAACTGAAGTTTCTTCTGAATTTGCACACAATGAATAGAAAGGATCTATAATGTGAAATAACCTACCCAGGTTAGCTCTCCAGGGCAAGACAATTGTCGTTGTCCTCCAAAACATCATCTTGTGCCTCCCATGAACTCTAGTTTTCCAAATTTTGTTCCAAATTCTAGAGTTAGGGCCATTCATTGTACGCGACTTGTTGAGCATATAAGCGGATTAATCGTAAAAAATTTCATTAATAACTAGCTGTCAAATCGTTTATCCACCCAAATGAAGGTTGGAACCCAATCTGAAGAATTGCATGGACTAAGGTTGGGCAAAACACCCGAGTTAGGCTGTTTACATCCCAAGTTTTTGGATCTCCGGAGATGTTCTCCCTCAAGGAATCGAACCCTAAATTGTAACGGTGAGCATGACTCCAGGGTAGAACTTAATGTATGATAATTCGTACATATCAAATATCAATATTTAAAGTGAGATTAATTATTTCTATTTACATAATATTTCCTCAATCTTAAGCCTACCACATCCTCTAAAACCGTCGACCGACTGGGGTCCTCCCATGTGACACGTTACTCAAATTAATGAATAATGAATATGAGCATATATTGTCGAGGAGAGACGTGTCCCAAGCAAAAATAAATGAAGAAGCGAGTAGATAAATAAAATAAAAAAGAGAGGGAAAAAAGTTAGACCGGGTTTATTGAATTTTTATTGGAGGGATCTAGGAACTGGTACTTTATCTTTTTGAGAAAGTGAGTTTTCGAGAGAAGCTAGATGGATATGATTTAAATAAATTTTCTTTTGTTTGTACTTGATGTACTTGTAGTCTTTAGATACACATGCATTCCATTATAGGTTTTAGGAAATTAGGAAGTATTTTTTGCGGGTGATGAGATGATTGATTCCTCTTCTCATCTCTCCTTGATTTGTCCACCACTTCATGTTCTCGTGCCTCGCCAACAGGTTATCAAGGTTCATCCAAGTGTTCGAGGCACTTCCTTGCTCTTTTTGGGATTAGTATGGCTTCGCAAGTTGTGAAGGAGCTTGGGTGATTACGCCACATATCAGCTCATTCACTATTTTTTTTTCTAATTCCAAATTAATTAAGATTAAAGATGCATTTATTTCACGAAAAAATTAAAATTTGAAAAATAATTTTTCAAGAAAAATTAAAAAATTCTAATATTACTTATGAAGATGAACGAGCGAAAAGCATTTTTATCATTCATGAAATTGTGTAATAATAATTAATTATTTTCTAAAAAATATTTTTGAAAGTATTTTTTTTTGGCAAAGCGAACGGACGTGACGAAGATGTGATCCGTGTACTTTGGTGTGCTGTTCAATTTCAGTCCCTAAATGACTACTTTGTCACTATTGTTGCTTTGACAGTGACAGTTTTGACATGTAGTTGGAATCAAACATTGCTTCTTCCATGAGGAGTTTGTAAGAGCATGTGCTGCCCCCGTCACATGTATGCCCAGTCTTTTGACGTTTGGTGCGTGGAAAACGTAGAGAAGATGTTGAAAATTGCGTGCCTTCCTCGATGGGAGGCATCAAAGAAAAAGGACATGCTCTTTTCTATGCCCTTCTATTATGAATGTCCCTCTCTAGTTTTCTTCATTTGCAAGTCTTCTTCGATGGAGTCAATTATGGAAAAGGAGAAGAGACGAGGAAAAAGAAAGGAGCGCTTCGAATCAAAGGAGTGCCACTCTAGGCTCAAATGAGAAGATGGGGGTGGTACCTGAGAGGGGCTCAGAGTACTGGTGGGACATCACGTTGATTTTGTGTATGGAAAAATTGGCGACTTGAACAAGTGCGGATTTCATTTAGTAGGAAGACGAATTCGGTGATGATTATGGGGTTTGATCTCATATGGACACGAATGATTGGTTTTTCACGATGTGTTGAGGTGCGAACTGTAGGAAGGCTACATTTGAATGAAAGGTGAATTTCTTACGTAGATTTAAATTGAATGAATCGATTATGGAATGTGAGATGATTTAATAATTATGGCGACACTTATAATTTTCACAACCTCAACTCTTGCAAGGTTATGACTCTGGAAAACTCTTTTATTGATGAGAGAGAGAGAGAGAGATGCTTCTTAACCCTGAGCGATTATAGATCTGGCGTCATCTAAGGGCAGCGATGTTGGGATGGTCATGACCACCGAGCCCTCCT